ATATAAAATCAAAATATTAAACCACTAATAATGAACACAATGGGCATTCTGAAATGTCAAAACCCCAACCGTCTATTTGGTTCATTTAAACATTCCCAAATCAGTGGATGACTAAAAAGCTATTTTTTTCTGGAAATCCACACAATATTTGCCGGGAATTCCAGGCATTATCAGGGACTTTTTTGGACCCATTTACATTGCCATATGATGCAGTTTCAAGCTGCATTCTGTGGCAGTGTAGATGGGATCTGGGACATTTTAAAAGATACTGATCAAATGGGATTCTTATGTTACTGGAATGCATTGTCAAGGATATATAAGCCCAATGTTCGTTCCAATCGGCGCAGGCAGTTTGGTTCCTACATACTGTGTGTTATGCTGCCTGTCCACCTTCCTATTGCGCAATATGAATAAACTGTGTCTTGCCCTAACTTGTTTGGACTCTGTTTCGTGATCCAAAGCGGCCCCGAATGGTAAGATTTGGGAATACCAGTGAGTTTCCCTTACAGGATAATTACACAAATGTACAGCCACTGCCAGAAGGGATAGATAGTTTCATCTATGCTGATGATCGTGTCATCACCACCCAAGTAGGGAGTCTTGAAATGGTTGAACAGAAGCTCTCCAAAGCTTTAGGTGCTCTTACTGCCTATTACAGAGAAAACCAGCTGACTCCTCATCCATTTAAAATACATACATGTGATTTTCATCTTAAGAACAGACAAGCCAACAGACAATCTCCAAGAGAGGACATTCCATCTGAACATGAGGAAGAACTTCCTGACTGTGAGAGCCGTTCAGCAGTGGAACTCTCTGCCCCGGAGTGTGGTGGAGGCTCCTTCTTTGGAAGCTTTTAAACAGAGGCTGGATGGCCATCTGTCAGGGGTGATTTGAATGCAATATTCCTGCTTCTTGGCAGAGGGTTGGACTGGATGGCCCATGAGGTCTCTTCCAACTCTTTGATTCTATGATTCTATAAGCATTTCGAGCTCTGAGGATGACCTGGGAAGGAATCCCACTGGAGCATTGCGGCACACCCAAATACCTGGGAGTTACCCTGGACTGTGCCTTGATTTACAAGAAGTACTGCTTGAATATCAAGCAAAAAGTGGGCACTAAAAATAATATCATATGAAAGCTGACTGGAACAACCTGGGGGTCACAACCAGACACAGTGAAGGCATCTGCCCTCGTGCTTTGCTATCTGCTGCTGAATACACGTGCTCAGTGTGGAATTCATCTCATATGTTAAAACAGTGGATGTGGCTCTTAATGAGACACGCCGCATTATCACAGGATGTCTATACCCAACACCACTGGAGGAATTATACTATTTAGCCGGTATTGTACCATCATAAAGTAGCAGCCAGCAATAAAAGGACCAAGGCATGGACATCTCCAGCCCATTTCCTGTTCGGATATCAGCTTGCAAACGACTTTAATCAAGAAAGAGCTCCCTAAGATCTACAGAGACATTCTCAGGAACATCTCAGCAAGCGAGAGTCCAAAAGTGGCAGGTGAAAACTCGGAACCTCAATCAGTGGTTGAAAAAGGATGAAAAACTCCCTCCTGGGTTCACAGAAGAGTGGATTACTTGGAAGGTGCTTAACAGACTGCTTTCTGACACCACGAGATGCAGAGCTAACCTTAAGAAATGGAGTTACCAAGTGGAGTCCATGACATGTGAATACGAAGAAGAGCAAACCACAGACCACCTATACAGTGTTTCTCAACCTGGGGGTCAGGACCCTTGAGGGGGTCACGAGGGGGTATCAGAGGGGTCACCAAAGACCATCAGAAAACACAGTAGGAGTTTTGAGTAGGAAGTTTGGCCCAATTCTATCGTTGGTGGGGTTCAGAATGCTCTTTGATTGCAGGTGAACTAATACAAATAAATCCCAGCAACTATAACTCCCAAATGTCAAGGTCTATTTTCCCCATATTCAACCAGTGTTCAAATTTGGGCATATTGAGCATTCATTACAAGTTTGGTCCAGATCCATCATTGTTTGGGTCTACAATGCTCTCTGGATGTTGGTGAACTACAACTCCCAAACTCAATGTCAATGCCCAGCAAAACCTGCCAGTATTTTCCGTTGGTCATGGGAGCTATGTGTTCCAAGATTGGTTCACTTCCATCATGGGTGGAGTTCAGAATGCTCTTTGGTTGTAGGTGAACTATAAATCCCAGCAACTACAACTCCCAAATTACTAAGTCAATCACCCACAATATCACCAGTATTCACATTTGGGTATTGGGTATTTGTGCCAAATTTGGTTCAGTGAATTAAAATACATCCTGCATATCAGATATTTACATGACGATTCATAACAGTAGAAAATGTATAGTTGTGAAGTAGCAATGAAAATAATTTTATGGTGGTGGGTCATCACAACATGAGGAACTGTATTAAGAGGTCATGGCATTAGGAAGGTTGAGAAACACTGACCTATTACAATGCAGCTTCTGGTCAAAGGAAATCTAGTATAATGCCAAGTTTTTAACTTTGTGTTATTTATAAAAATACATTATAACTATACCCTCGATTTGCTTCTGACACAATAAATATTTTTTAAGTACACTGTGCCTTGCCATAAGGAGAGACATATTGTTATTATCTATGTAAATAAAAATGTAGTGTTCATTTGTGGAATTAACAGAACTCAAAAACCATTGGACGAATTGACACCAATTTGGACACAAGACACCTAACAACCCAATGTATGTCCTTCACTCAAAAAAATTGATTTTGTCATTTGGAAGTTGTAGTTGCTGGGATTTATAGTTCACCTACAATCAAAGAGCATTCTGAACCCCACCAACGATGGAATTGAACCAAACTTGGTACACAGTCCTCCCATGACCAACAGAAAATACTGGAAGGGTTTGGTGGGCAGTGTCCTTTGGTTTTGGAGTTGCAGTTCACCTACATCCAGAGAGCCCTGTGGACTCAAACAATGATGGATCTGGACCAAACTCTACACAAATACTCAATATGCCCAAATGCGAACACTGGTAGAGTTTGGGGAAAATAGAATCTTGACATTTGGGAGTTGTAGTTGCTGGGATTTGTAGTTCACCTACAATCACAGAGCATTCCGAACACCACTAATGATAGAATTGGGCCAAACCTCCCACACAGAACTCCCATGACCACCAGAGTGGGCCACAGCAATGCGTGGCAAGGGACGGCTAGTTATTAATAATAATAGTATCTTTTGTTTTCTTTTCCATAGGGCCTTGCCGCTCACGACCAGGAAACCTATACGACCCTTGAGCTCCCAGACCTGCAAAAGGAGCCCTCCAGAAAAGAGCCCTTGATGGGATAGATGGAGGCGTTTCAGAAACGTCTTGGCCCTAGATCCTGAAAATTCATTATATGTTCATGCTATGTTTTAAACGCTATCCTTTCATACTTCTGCAGCGAAGACTCCACTTAACTGACCCCACATTCACTGAGCATATTTATGGTGGTGTGGATATTGTCCATAGTAGTAGCTCTCCTTGCCAGTTCTTAGTAAACCTGCCCAATAATGAACAAACCACACTCAGCTGTGGTTTCGGGTCATTTTGCTTGATATTTTGCTTCTTCTATACCTGAAAAGGAAGACACCCTTTAACCCCATTTGCACATTAATAGTGTTAGGTCTTATGTTTGCTTCTTCAGATTTCAAATAAGATATAACGGACACAGCGAGCAGAGAGAAGTGTTTTAATTAAATGTATATATGGGGAAATATATAAAAATAATCCCTAGGCTGCTCCTTCAAACTATAATGATGACACCTCCACAACAGACCAGCTCACCAAAATATAGAGGGAGTATGGTTGCTGAACCAACTGTCTATTTAAAAGTTAGGAAGTGGGAACCACTGGAACTGAGAGACTTAGATTGATTCTTCAAAAGACTTCCGCTGCCACCATATTAATAAATAAACAGGATGAGTTTACTATTGAGACGTTGTTCAGTAACACACTCTGTGTCACTATAGTTTTCTTAGAGACTTCTTAGCACTTTGACCACAAAGGTATTCACACTGAGGCTGGTATAAGTTGATAAAAATAACAAGAACGTTTATTGAACAGGCTTGAAATATTCAGGTACAAATGCTTAATGGTTTCAGTAAAATACTGGCATAAAAACTTGCAGCTAAACATAAAAAACCAAGATTATGGCAACAGGAATTATTGATAACTGGGAAATAGAGGGAGAAAACGTAGAGGCTGTGACAGTCTTTGTATTTGTAGTTGCAAAGATGACTGCAGACGCAGACTGCAGCCAGGAAATCAGGAGACACTTACTTCTTGGGAGGAGAGCAATGACCAATCTCAATAAAATATTGAAGAGTAGAGACATCACACTGGCAACAAAGATCCGCATAGTAAAAGCAATGGTATTCCCTGTAGTAACCTATGGATGTGAGAGCTGGACCATAAGGAAGACTGAGCGAAGGGAGAGAGATGCTTTTGAACTGTGGTGCTGGAGGAAAGTGCTAAGAGTGCCTTGGACAGCGAGAAGATCCAACCAGTCCATA